GCCCAATCCGCCAACCAACAGGACCTCCGTCTTGCCTGGACTGAGCTTCAGTGTATTGGCCCTCATCCAGCCCATTACCTCGGCCAGGCACCGGTTCAGTACAGCCACTGCCTCACCTGGATTAGTGGAGAACGAGAGGTAGAGCTGGGTATCATCAGCATACTGATGATTCCGCAGCCCACACCTCCTGATGACCTCCCCCAGCGGTTTCATGTAGATGTTAAAGAGCATGGGGGACAAGATGGAACCCTGCGGAACTCCATGGCACAGCTGCCATGGCGCAGAGCCATAGTCCCCCAGCATCACCTTCTGGAATCAGCCATTGAGATAGGAGCAGAACCACTGCAAAGCAGTGCCTCCGACCCCCAATCCCGCTAGCCTATCCAGAAGGATACCATGGTCGATGGTATCGAAAGCCGCTGAGAGGTCCAGGAGAACCAACAGGGACGCACTCCCCATCTTTCTCCCTGCACAAGCCATCGTACAGGGCGACCAAGGCAGATTTAGTACCGTACCCGGGTCTGAAGCCAGACTGAAATGGGTCCAGATAATCAGTTTCATCCAAGAGTGCTTGGAGTTGTCCCGCCATCACCCGCTCCAACACCTTGCCCTGAAATGGGATGTTGGCCACTGGTCTATAATTAGTGGCCATCTCTGGATCCAGTGATGCCTTCTTCAGGACCGGTCGGACTACCACCTCCTTTAAAGGGGCCGGTGCCCAGTCCTCCCTCAGAGAGGCGTTAACCACTTCCAAGATCCAGGTCCCTATCCCGTGCTTGGTGTTGTTAATTAGCCAAGATGTGCAAGGGTCCAATAGGCAGGTGGTGGGACATACTCATCCAAGCACCTTGTCCACATCATCAGGCCACAGTAACTGAAATTCATCCCTCAATTTTGGACCACATTATCCACATAGAACAACCCCTTCTCTTGTTCCTTCAGCTAAGTGAGAAAGTGACCATGATCCAGGAGACTCAAGCTGAGTTCCTTCAACAACTGAAATGCCCTAAATCCACATACAAAGAACAGATGAATCACAAGTGTCAGGAGGGGCCCCAGTTACACGTGGAGGACAGGGTGTGGCTGTCAATGGAGAATTATCACTCACAATGCCCCTCAGCAAAGCTGGAGTGCAATTTCTGGGATTTTTTGTGGATGCTCCAGGAAGTCAACCCAGTCATGTACAACCTAGAAGATCTATTCTGAAGATCCATCTGAAGATCCATTTTGTCATCCACATGTCCTAAGTGAAGCTGAATCAAAACAACCCCTTCCCCAGCTATAAAACTCCACCACCTTCACAGGCCCAGCATCATGACAACTACCTTCTCATCAGGACCCTGGACTCCAAGAAAATGTGAGGCAAGATCCATCACTTTGTGGACTGGAAGGGATTCAGTCCCAAGGGAACCTGCAAAATCATCCATGCCCCAAATAAGGTCCGAACCTTCCACAGAGCCCAATTCCAACAAGCCTTGAATGGGGAAGAAGGTACTGTCTGGTTGTGGCAACTCTGGGATGCTACCTGATGGTGAAAACTAGAATGACCACTGCAGTATTTGCTGATTTGGTCCCAGGCACTGCTGGAGCTTTCAGCTTCCTGAAGAATCCCAGTTTGGAGACCTGGGGGAAGAGCAATATAAGAGAGCAAACTCTTTCTTCCACTGGTTGCCCCAGCAACACAGGTCTTCCACCTCATCGTAACTTGTCCCAGTGCCTGCATCCCCACCTGATCCTATTCTGATGCAGTTCCTGCTTTGTCTTGCCTCACCTCACCCTGCCTTGCTACATTGCTAAGCTTGCCATACTTTTGCAGCTCTTAAATTTCACCTGGTTACCCTGCCTCAGGTACCTGTTTCCTGTTCTGATTTATCTTTCAAGTTCTCCATATTTGGCTTGTTCATCACCACATCCTTGTCTTGTTCTGATATGTACTCCTGTTTCCTGACTTCAGCCTGTTTCTTGACCACCACCACTGCTTCCAACTCAACTACCAGTCTCCAGGTAAGTGTTTGCACTCTGACCTGCCTTGGATTCAGTTGCCTAAGTCCCAGTACTGATTCCTGGTATATCCATGCTCCAGACTGTGGCACTATCTTTCATCACACTAACACACTATTGTCTCTGACATCTTATGAACCATAAAACCATTGCTGATTTTCCTGTCCGCCTGAGCATGAATCACCCTGATAGGCTGAAAGGAGGAAAAAAAAATGAAGGTTAAAAAAAATGAACAATGAACTTTAAGGTTGGATTAATATTTTGGTGATAGTGAAGATATTTCTATGCTGGTCTTTGTACTCTTAATGATTAGGGAAAATGTAATAAAATATTTCTATGGTTTAAAGCTGACAAGATTATTTACCAAACAATCAAAGCTTTAAGAAACAGATTTTTATTTTGCATTTACTCTCAATAAAACAAATATGCTATGCAGTTTGTTCACAGGTATTTGAGTTCAAGCTAGTAATTGGGGATGGAAAAAATCTAGAATTTAAAACCACTTATAATTGAATGAACTATGATGTTATAAAATATCAAGATCAAGTAAACAGTAGAAGAAATTGTATTAACAGTTCATTCTCTTTTTTTCCAACTTCTTTCCAACTTTTAAAGTAGAACTGTTGATAGTCTTGTTTAATAAAATAATCATATATGAATTATCTGCTTGATTACTCCCAGTGTGCTAATAAGGTAACTGAATTATCATTCATTAATTCATTCCCATATAACAATTGGTAGCAACTCTACCTTCTGCTATGAAGAGTTTCAACACTGGCATGAGCCCAGGAGAGCAGAAGAATTGGTATTTCTACTTTTTATTTTCCTCATTCTACAAATTCCCTTCCACAATGTTAGTGTAGTCCGGAAGCTAGTTGGTGGACAGATCCAGGAACCAGGAAAATTATGAATTCACAGCATTTCCCAGCATATTCACCCCAACACACTTCCTTTTCCCCTTTCTATGCCATTGGAATTGCAATGTGCATACAGAGTGAGAAGGAGAGGGAAAGGGGAGATATTTGATATCAGATTTCTTTCTATCAGATCTCTTTCAGACCTCCTTAGTCAACCCTAGGTCTAAACTCTGAATTGTTCATCACCCAACAACTCAGAGCTCCAGGATAAGACATTATGTAAACAAGGCAGAGCTGGAATGTCCCTTAAATATCAATCATATGCTTGATTCCCACTCTATTTTCAACAACTCACAGTTTTCTGGCCACAGAATTCTTGCTAACATGCAACGAGTCTCAAAATCTTGTTTTTGACATTCACATCTCAAATTATTTCACATGTACAAGTCAAAGATTTTCCAATAATTAAAACACTAACCATTGTTTTAAGAAATCAGCAAAATCTGTGACAGAACCATTGGTGTGAATAACACTAATTTAAGGTGATATGGTAAAAGAATCTAGTTTCATTAACAATGAAGTTGAAAAGACATAGTATATAATGATCTGTTAGGCAACCTCCTATAGCTTATCAGTACATGAAATCCAGTACACAATTCATGTTAAGAATATATTTAAAACCAGCAAGACTGAACATGTTTTCAGCTGCTTACTTTTATTGTTAGAAATCCAAAGTAAATAGAGAAGATAACCTGCACATATGATGTGGATGCCAGCATTGCAGTCATACTCGAGTTCAGTAATATATAACATCTCACAAACTTTAAGGCATGTCATGGCATTGGACCCTTTCTTGAAATTATAAGTTATAGAGCATGGGTCCTCAAACTACGGCCCGGGGTCAGATCCGGCCCGCCTGCCCATTTATCCAGTCCGCCATGCCCATTTGGACCGACTGTGCGTGTGCCCACACACACTCCCGCTGCCGCCCACCTCACGTTGCGCATGGGGAGGCAGCGGTTTGCTCACTCGAAGAAAACGATCTCCAAGCGAGCAAGCTGCTGCCTCATGTGCCTGCCTCGCGGAGCGTGCCTGCCCCACCTCACACTCCGCCCCCACCTCAGTGCACCCACACATGCCATCCCGCACGCACCCCCGGCACCACCATTCCGGCCCACGCCCAGCACCGGCACCTTTCAAATGGCCCCCTGGTTAAAAAGTTTGAGGACCCCTTACTGTGAAGCCACTGTTCACAGAACTATTAGTCATAGCAAAAATCATATGGGCAACATACTAAAAGAACCCTATCCTCCTCCACATAGGAAATTATTATTAAAATATTTAGAACTTGTGGAAATATATAAGCTCAAAGTACATCCCCATAAAAGGGAAAGCACACAATTGCCAAATATTATGTAGAATAAGTAGTATTATTTTCCTGAACATGGAATAAATGCTGTGGACATACAAAAGTGTATGCATTTTATAGTATATTTATAATAATAATTTCTATGCTTTTCATTTCTCTTTAATGGTGTATGTAAACGTATGAAGATTTTTTAAAAAAAAGGAATTCCATATATGCAGCAAGACTGACCAAGACCATAAGGTGCCAGATAAAGCTAATGCCAATTTCAGATTTCACAGACCCCACTCCCTTCCTAGCCTATAGTATCAAGAAAAAGGAAGCTATGTTAAGCAAATGAAATATAAGAAGCATGCTCATCTAAAAAAGTAAGGGTTTTATTCTGCTTTGATTCCTTCAATTAACAAATACTACTTCTATTGAACAGAATCCAGTCATGGAAAAATCTGCAATCTAAAAGTCATCAGATAGTTATGAGCATTAGTTATGATGAAGAGTCCACACCTCCTTCATTTATATCAATCTGTTTGAAACTGCTGTGCAAAACTCATCATAACAGCATACATTTCTACAGTGTAATTAATCAGTGGAAAACAACACTCAGAATTCTAAATAACATTTTCATTATTACAGTCTTATAGTCCCACTTACCATTCTTCCTCTCACTTAGTGGGGGAAGATTGGGGTTCCGACCAGGATGCAGGCCCAGGGTCAGCTCGGGCTGCAAGGAGAGCTCCTGCAACTCATTAGCAACAGCTTCACTCTGGGGACTTGGTGCCGCTGAAAGAGACACCAATGTTGTCTCATCTTCATTCTCGCCAGCCCCTCCTCCGTCCAGCCCATTTCCAGCAATGACGGAAGGGGGCAGGCACAGAACACCGGAGAAATCCACTTTGGCTTTCGTGATGGCGATCTGAAAAAAGAGCAAACAAGAGCTCAGACAGATTATTCTATCTTTCTAGAAATGGACTTTTTCTCAACCTATAGCTCTTTCTTTCAGTGACCTGGTTCTCACAGAATAACAAATCGTGGTTTAATTAACCATGGTTTCTTAAATTGTGGGTTACTATGTGTAAACTCCAAACTATGGTGAACCATGAACACCAGCCAAAGTGAATTCATGGTTAGGTTGTGAATTTGCAGGTGCTTACATAATGACTGAATTCACATGACAATCTATCATGGGTAAATATCTATGATATATTATTGGGTCATCCAAATCTACACTGCTCCCTGCAAGGCGACTTATGTTGGGGCAAAAAGTCATCTTGAAAACCCATAGCTAGTTCTCGGTGTTATCTGATATATACTGGGTTGCTATGCCATCAGAACTCAGGGGACCAATTCTGTTATTGTAGTATACTGACTGTGGGAGACAGGGGAGCAGGATTTGTTCAGTTGCCACTATGCATTACAACTCATAGGCACCAGTGAATAATCAATTTACTTTCTACAAGGCTCTACAATATGGAAGTCCAAGCTTACCGACTTAAATCCAATAGGATCTTGAGCAGTGAGGGCGGTGCAGCAGTTAGGAACACAGGACTGAGATTCAGGTGACCTGGGTTCTAGTCCCCTTTCAGCCATAGCACTCACTCACAGTGACTCTGAGCCAGTCACAAACTCTCAACTCAACCCACCTCACATGAGGGCACACCATGACCTTCATAGACTTGAGGCAAATTACCTTTTTGTAAGTTGGACATAATCAGCCAATTTTAAGTATTATTTAAAAACCAAACACAAGCTTGAATGCTGGCAAATAATAACATTGCCAAATGGTACAACCCTTGGAACATGAGTTCTTAAAAGTTAGTTTAAATGATTTAAAAGCCAGCTTACAGAGAACAACACCTGAGCTTAAGTCCAAGAATTAGTAAAACAGTGTTAAAGGGAGAAAAAAAGTTGAGGTTTCAAACAAAAATTTCTAAGCTAGAAGAGGTTCCGGAAAACCACAATCTTATCTGAATGGTGCTGTTTAATAGGTACAGGAAGCATCCATCATGGCCTCCTGAAAACTTAGCTTGCACATCTGAAGGTGAAGGTAGCAAAGAAAAGCATAATGAAGCATGGAATGTGAAAGCATCCAAGAGTTCAACACATTAAGTTCCCAAGGACTGAGATATACTTACTCTACCAGAGAGTACTAAATTAAAATCAACATGCCAGAGTCTTGTGTCCTGTGTTGGTGTGAAGTGGAAGAACATCCTAGAAATCCCTTAAGTAATGTTAAGAGACTCTGATGATACTCTCACGTTCTATACTCTATTCCCCTCTGCCTGTCATTTTACCTATTATTATTATTATTAGTAGTATTATTATTATTTATTAAACATATTCCACAGTACTAGCCTCATAGGGCTCTCTAAGCAAATATTCCACCTGCGCAACAGCCCTGTGCACAAATAAATAAGCTGTAGGATACAGAGTCAATACACAGACTATTCATTTGTAGGTAAAAGTTGTTCTATAGTTTTCTAAAAAGCTAAAATTATGAAGGTACATTTCTAGTGTTCTGTAAGTGTAAACCCCTTTCTAACAGGGGATACACATTACAAATGAAAAGAACAATAATATTATTTTCCAATCATCAGTAACAGAATTATGTGATCCGCTTCACAAAGTTTACATAATAATGTTTAGGAAAAAAAAAACCCAAAATATCTTATACAGATTAAAATAGTTTAAATTTAATGCATTTGTACACTATCAAAATTTGAATACTGATATATTGTTCTGAAATAATGAACCATTACATAACTTAAAATTTAAGTAAAGTTTTCATTTATTGTTAGGTAAAAGGTATCTTTTATTTTCTTCCTTCCATGCAACAGGAATATGTTATAATCAACATCTAATAATAAAGAATGCATTTAATTCATGGCACCACTTCTGAAAATTGGCCAAGTGATTAAAGCTTTAAGACCCAATTAAAAATATCTAAAGGTCTAAGAATATAGCTGCAACATATAGTGCACCTTTCTCCACCATATGTGTCCAGTGGTCAGCAATTTTTATGTTCCAAGACTGATATTTTAGGACAGGATGATGAGAAAATAATTCCCTAAGTAAATGAGAACACTACAAGCATTTCTCACTGCTCTCTGATTCTTTAAGTCAGTTTCTATTTAGAAGCAGTTACCAGGGTAATGGCAATTTCCTACTCATTTAAGAATTGCTAAGCAACTTGAATCAACTAGCAGCAGCAGGTGGCATATGGAAGGAGACTATTTTGGGAGACAGTTAACTATTTTTCTTACATTTAAAAAAGCTATCTGTTACAAGACTCTGGCAGGTGACCAGGAAGCCAAAACAAAATGTAATCTTTGGGCAAAGAGGTGTTAAGTGGATCAAACTTTAAGCCTAGCAGAGAAGGAAGAAAAGCTAATGTTCAGAGGCAGGAAACCTTCTAGATAAACCCAATGCAAAAACACAGAACACTGCACCAAGCTGCTGACAAATGATTAGTAACAGAAAGAAGGTCAATCCAGCTAGTGTTCCAACCAGTTCTCCAGAGTTTGTTATAGTCTTTTCCAGTCTTTTAATTTAATATGCTTGGGATTAAATTTGCAACTCAATACATATACAATGAACATGTTTTACTGCATAAACATAGCAAATTCTCTTTAAGATAACAAATAAAGCCAGATACTCCAATGTGTTCACTTGATATTTTTATGCTTATTATACATGGACACCTGCAAATTTAGAAATGTCTTATTGGATAATATTTAAAGCCATAACCACCTATTGGTTATGGCTTTTCTGCTTAATGGCAGCAAATCATGGTTTAATCAACTCAAGATTTGTCATAGCATGTGTCAAGCACATTCTGAAACTGTTTTCAATATTCAGCCCCTAACTGGGGATAGCTACATTACATCTGAACCAAGGACTATAGGTTAACCATAGTTTAAACAACCCTCAGTTAAAACTGTAGATTAACAGTGGGTTGCTTATCTCACAATTTATCTATAATGTCCAGGTATGAATGACATGTAGTGATGTCCTATTGGGGACTGGATATTCAAAATGGTCATGAAATGCTGCAAGAGGCACTACAGCAATTAAGTGCTGACTACCCCATATCTTGCTACTATTATGTGCAAACCAGATCATTAAAACCTTTAATACAACTTTCCTATACAGGCCTTGAGTCTAGTCTTTTGAATGGTTCTCAACGGGAGAAAAGAAGTGTAAACTATTTCTACATTCAAACTGGATGGACTGGAAGGCAAAACAGTGGCCTCTTCTTCTAACTTGCAATGTAAGACACCAGTATAATGAGGCTAGTACATATCCAGCATGTGTACTGACAGAGGTAAAAATCAATACTGTGATGTCCCAAAAGCAAATAGTACTCATCTTATAGCAGGTTCATGCCAACTGGCCCTCAGACACTTCTAACCCAAAGGTAATTGACTATCAGCCTTCCTCAGCCTGATGTCCTTCAAATGTTTTGGAATAAAGTTCCCATCAGCCTCACCAGCATCAGGGATGAAAGCTATAGTCCAAAACATCAGGACGGCACCTGGCTGGAAAAACTGTTCTATACAATCAACTGAAGCCATCTTGCATAGCTCCATGAAAAGTACAGACTACTAATTATGGCACACAAAAATGTTTTTCCACTCAACATAACCATGTGCCAAACACCAATCAGCACATGTGACAATTATTTTACCATAATTACTTTACAACTATTTTGCAGTGTGGCCAACTGTATCCAAATTGTATTTTCTGCATGCTGAGGGCTGATTTTTGATTGTAGAAAAAAGCATTGTAAAGAATGAAAAGTCATCACCCAGTCTGCATAAAATTCTATGCACATACAGCCCTTAGTTTCACTTGGAAAGACAAAGTATTTCTTTCAACTTGACAAGTCTTCTCATATGATGCAAGAATTCTGTTTAACTAATCACTAGCTCCGAGTATGGCCTTATCTACATAAACAAATACTAATAAAGAAATTGAATATTATAAATATTAAATTACATAGACTAGTCACACACTACTTCAGGTTACAGCACTGCTAATAATTGTACTGTATTGACTGTTAGGACAGCATGTTTGAACACAAGGTCCAAAAACAGGTTACTAACTATTACAGTTTTCTCCTATTTGGATTAGCCCCACAGACAAGTAATAATTGGCATCCTGCATCCATGTCCATTCTTAAGAGTGAAAATAATGATCTGCTAGTCTGCCCTTTCATTCAGGGGAACAGAGTTCACAAAAACCTGACAAACTAGATCCTGACTGACTCCAGGTTTCTTTTTCCAAGTTAGCCCTTTTCGTGGAAGAGTCATTCACACTAAGATTTGGGGTACTCTTGGATGTTCTTTGCATCTTAGTTTCCGTCTTGGCATAGCACAGAGATAGTTTATAGCTTTTACTAATCAAGGGGTATCCTCTGTAGAGCATGGGTCCTCAAACTAAGGTCTGCAGGCCGGATCCAGCCCGCCATGCCCATTTAACTGGCCCACCTCACAGGTGTTGCATTCACTAAGTGCGGGGGCACACACGGGCACACGGCTTGTTCGCGAGGAGGTTGTTTTGGACTAGCTCGGAGAAAACAATCTCCTTGAAAGCAAGCTGGCGCCTTGCCGTGCATGCCTGGCGGCAGCTTGCTCGCAGAGAGATCATTTTGGACTCGATGAGAGAAAATGATCTCTTCACGAGCAAGCAGGAGCCTCACTGTGCACGCACCCAGCAGTAGCTTGCTCATGAGGTCATTTTGGACTCGATCTCCTCTCGAGCAAGCCAGCACCTCACCCTGCGTGCCCCCCACATCCCGCCTCGCCTCACGTGCATGTGCACCCCACCCCACCAGCCCGCACCCCCCCCTGCCAGCACCACCTTGGCAGCCCAGACCCACCACTGGCACCTGTCAACTGGCCCCCTTTAGAAAAAGTTTGAGGACCCCTGCTATAGAGCATTTATTTGGCTGATACAACTGACCATGGAGAGCTAAACAGACTGGCAAATGCAGGTGAAGTCTTCAATAGTTTATACATTACCATTAGAAATTCCAAAGAATAGCAATGAAAGGTTACTCATCTTTCAGTATTTTATTCTGTCCACCCCACCCTTCTCATAGTAGTTCAACTTTCATGAGAGGTCAATAATATAATGAAACTGAGAACGTAAATAGCATCTATCAGAATCCCTATTTTACTCAGCTAAGGTTCTACATTCCTTTCGATTCTTCTTTTTTGTACCATAGCTAGGATAACAGCAAAACCTTAATATTTCCCCATGCTCTGTTTGTCCTCTCCATCTGACAAAGCTGAAACAACACATAGTGATGCAACCTCTTGTAGGTCTGTTACCTCAAGATTGTCCTGGCCCTCAAGGCCAGAGTAAGATTCAGTTAATTGGACTGAATTATCTCAGCTGCATTCCTGTGGGAACCCCTCCCATCTCGCGCAGGGTTTGGAAATGCAACTGTAGTCTGCCTGTGATTGGCCTACATGAGATATTTCCTTAGTTGTCAAGGAGTGGGGCATAAAAGAGGAAGGCTGAAAACAACCCACATATCCCCATCTACCTGGCCAATTTGCTTGACAATCTGAAAGTCAGTAAACCACCTAGCCCAAACAGTATCCAGCCTAGAGACCTCAAAGAACTCAAACACAAAATTACTGTCCTTCTTACCAAAATATTTAACATGTTAAAATCAGCCCATGCAGCAGAGGATTGGAGAATGGCCAATGTAACATCATTGTTTTAAAAAGGGATTTGGGGGAGGGGAGCATCTGGAAAACTATAAGCCAATTCTGGGTAAATTGCTTGAAAGCATTATTAAAGAGAGGGACAAACCCTGCACAAAAAGAATCAACACAGTTTCCACAAGGGGAAGTCCTGTTTCACTAACCTATCATAATTCTTTGACAGTGTCAATATTTTTTATTTATTTATTTATTTATTTATTAAAACATTTTTATGCCGCCCCATTCGCCTAAGCACGTGGTCAGGGACGATCCAAATAGGCATTGTTTACTTGGATTTCCAAAAGGCTTCTGACAAAGCCCCTCACCAAAGTTTCATCAGCAAGCTTAGCAGTTATGGAATATATGAGGGAAAGTTCTCCTTATGGATCATTAGCTGGTTAAAGAAGAGAGAAAGTGGGAATAAATGCCAATTTCTCCCAAAGAAGGAATGTAAACCAGTGGAGTCACTCAGGGTTCCATATTAGGCCCACTGCTTTTTGACCTACTCATAAGTTTGAATAGGTGGCCAAGTTCACTGAGGACACCAAACTGTTTAGGTTGTTTAAAACCAAAATGGATTGTGAGGCGCTCCCAATGAATCTCTCCAAGCTGGGAGAATGGGCATCAGAGTGGCAAATGCACTTCAGTATAAGCAAGTGAAAGTAATGTACATTGGGGCAAAAAATCCCAACTTCCCATCAGCGTGTACTTGATCTGAGCTAGCAGTGGCTGAGCAAGAAAGGGATCTTGGGGTAGTGGTGGACAACTCAATGAAAATGTTAGCCGAGTGCACAGCAAACCCTGGGCTAGGCATAACTAGGAACAGAATAGAAAATAGAACTGCCAAGATCATACTCCCCTTATACAAATCTTTGGTGTGACTGCACTTAGAATATTGTGCACAGTTCTGGTCACCTTACCTGAAAAAGGAAATTGAGTTTGAAAAAATACAGAGAAGGGCAACTAAAATGATCAGGAGGATGGATCAGCTCCCCTATGAGGAGCAACTAGAATAACTGTGGACATTTACTTGAAAAAAGGTGTTATTTCATTCCATTTCTATGCTGCCCCATAACCCAAAGGTTCTCCTCTGGATAAACAAACTTCATCTCTACTTCTAGAATTGTGTGTACATTTTCTTCTAGGTAAATCTCAGTATTACTGATTTATGTATTTTATTTTCTAATACTGTCCAATAGCAGAAGCTCTCTGGGCAGTTTGCAACAATTCAGCATCTTCTACTTGGTCTAATTACAATTTAAGGCTTGAGGACTTAAGAGAGTGCTGGTTCGGCCTCTTATTTCTACAGTGGGGCCTTCACTTCGAACATAATTCATTTCAGGAGGCCATTTGAACTCTGAATCATTTTAAGTCTGAAGCAAATGTTCCCCATTAGAAATAATGGAAAGTGAATTAATCTGTTCCCAGACCCTGAACAATACCCATCCCAATAAACGTAAACAGCAAATACGCATAATTTAAGGTAAATTTAACACAATTGAATTTGAACACCAAATTTATTAAAACTTGAAAACAGTTAATAAACAAGCAACTATGTACAGTATGCACTGAGAACAATCAAGAAGGCATGCAGTTAAAAGGCACTGAAAAGTTTTGAAAAGGCACACATTGAAAAGGCAGAGACACAAGAGATCCTTTCCCAGCAAGAGACGACTTGGGCACACAACTGATGATGTTTACGCATTGACCACATTTTTTTCACTGTGCCTGCAGATCAAACTTAGAAGTGTCTTTCGAACTTTGATTTTATTTTGACTCTAATGTTCAAACTCTGGATCATTCAAAGTTACATTCATTTGAACTACAAGGCACTGAGAGAGTCCTGAGAGATCTGGAAGTTCCCATCCTCAGACTGAGGAGGACACAAAGGGATAATGGCAGTCTACCATTAGACTGCACAGAAATACAGGACAATAAGCCTAATAACCCCATTAAGGGCATTTGGTGAAAATAAATGTATCAAGGAATAAAAGGAGCATGGTAGTTAGAGTCTACTATGACCCACCAAATCAAGCAGAAGATGAATAGGAAACTTTCATTAAGCAATCTGGCAATATTTCAAATAAGTTTGATATGGTAGTAATGGGGAATTAAATTACCCAGATATCTACCCAGAAACAAATTCTGCCAAAAATGGTCCCTCCATGAAATGTTTGACATGCACAGCAGATACTCTTCTTCTACACAAAATGGAGGAAGGAACTAGAGGACTGGTATATTTGACCTGTTACTAACTAACAAGGATGACTTAGTGGATAAAGTGGAAGTTAAGGGCAACACTGGAGAAAAGTGACCACAAAATACTTGAGTTCTTGATTTTTAAAGGAAGCAAAAATGGAGAGTGACCATACACATGCTCTGGATTTTAGGAAAGCAGATTTTAATAAACTCAGGACAATGATAAGGTCTCATGTTAAGTGACACTCAGGAAAAAAGAAGTCCAAGTGGGTGGGAGTTTTTAAAAAAGGAAATTTTAAAGGCACAATAGAAACAATTTAAAAAATGCACAAACAGTAGCAGATGACAGAAGAAACCAGTGTGACTTCATAAAAACAATTTGAGTTGATCTAAAAACAAAGATGGACATGTATAGGAAGTGAAAGGATGGCAAAGCAACAAAAGAAAAGCAGGTGGTATTGCTATTCGTACATGCCAATTCATAATTTGTGTGACAGCTGTTTGCTGTCTATATTTTCTACTGCTAGATTTTTTCCCATGGAACAAAAATAATTTTTAAGAAACATGGTACTGTAACACTGATTGGTAACATAATGAATGGATACAGTACCAGAATCAGATATTTCAAAGCTGCTAAGAAGTGCACATACACAAGTAAAAACATTAGCTTTTTGACATATTAACATTTGTATCTCAGCATTTTCATTTTTTCCCTTAAAATGTAAACAAAAAGTACAAGTTTCAAGTATAAGTTCTGAGGAAAGCTCTGGATTTGAAAATCAATATTGCACATTTTTAAGGTTTTGTTAAATATAATTCCAACATGCAAAAATTACAATCTAAGACACCAGAACAAATTTTATTTCAAAAAACGTACTAGTACTTTTCCAGAAAACCCATATCAGCAAAAAAATTCCATGGGTTCTCAAGTAACACATGAGAAGAAGATACTTTGCTTTAGGCCGCAACTGTAATTATGCAACCCTCTCCACACATATATCCATACAACAAACAAGCTTAATTTATTACTTCCGGATTTGATCAAATGATAGACTGTCCACAAACCAGAGTCCTGAAGAAATGCAAACTATTATTTCATCAGTTAATTTTAATGACATACAGCTGGAAGATATATTTTAAATAGTGACGTACCTTATAGTTCCCACAAATCAGCCCAATTCAGTTCCATGCCAGGAGCTCCAATCACTGCAAGAGAAAGAAAAATCATGCAAACTCAAGCCATATTATCTACAATACTCACTGACATCATCTAACACATAGAGGGACTAATGGGGGTACTTTAGCTTCCCATACACTTCTGATTCTATACTCTGGCTTAGAGATTCATAAACAAGCCCCATGCTTGCCTATTCCTTCATTTTTCATACACGTAGTTTAATAAATTATTTCCTGGTTTAATCCAACTATAGTTTGCCCACAAACAAGGATCAAACCCTGTTTTCTGAACAACACATCATTTGATCATACCAGGAAGTAATAAATTAAACTGCATTCATGAGGTGGTGGGAGTATTTAAAGAACAGCGATTACACCTGCTTTTCCAAATCATATTTTAATAATCATTAGTACAGCTAAAAGGCCACTACTGACTAGCATACCTATTTTCAAGGTACCAATCTGTGCCTCATAAAAAGCCTACTGAATATATCCCTTAAGATGAGGAGACTGATCCCACACTAGGCAGGAGAAAGAGCTCTGAAAACTCACATACTGCATCACATTTCTTGAGGATTCCCACTTGCAAATATCTATGAATGCAGCCATTTAAGCCCATCCACCTATCTGGCAATGCAAATAAAGAAAAAGCTGCATCTTTCTGTTTTAAGTCAAAAATTGGACAAGCATGACTCCATTCTTTTAAAAGAATCATTGAAAGATAATGTCTAAAACTTGAATTTTAAGGCATATAACCTACTTCCACTAATTCATTTTAACCCCAACTCTTTTAACAAGATATCAAGCAACAATATGTTCTGAGCACTACTTCCTCTTTTCCCAGCTTTTAACACACATTACATGAGGTTGCATTTATCTGTACCAGAACTTCCTTCAACAGTTCCAAGCTGTAATACAAGGAGAACTGCACATGCATAATCCATACCACCTGTCACAGCAGGATACACACTGACTCCTCTTAACTACCAGTTTTAATTATCCTCCCTCCTGCCAAGGACAGAGGGAGTCACTCAGTGGCCAGGTTCAAATGTCACAACAAGCAAGGCCAAGGGTTTCTACTGTATGCAGTTTTGTGTGTGGATGCGCATAAAACATGATTAGTCTCAGCATGGTAACTCTCCTCCCATTTACCATTTTCTTCCCTCTCAATCTCCCAGGTGGTATCTCACCAGGCACCTCAGGAAAATACAAGGTTCCTCTCTTTGACAGCCATGATACTGAGCTGATTTCAACCCGCTGCAGCTGTCAAGCAGTCTCTGCTGCACAAACAGGGCTCATGCCCTTAATCACAGCAGAGAGGACAAGGAGCTAGTCAGACACCCTCCCCTTCTCTCCGGAGGGAATTACTTGAGCAGGAGTACTTGCGTAATGCTGGCCAGTGCTGCAGAAAGGAGCAGCACTGCTTGATTCCCCTCATGCCCTTTTGCATTCCCCAGAGTAAAGCACCTCACACATGCAAACAAACCAGTGACAGGGGCAATAAGCAGCTAGGGATTGCACATTGCAGTGGATTCTCCTGCCACTCTCTTTCCTGCTTTATGGCACCAGTCTGGGAATAACTCTGGCAAACCAGAGCAATAAAAGTGGAACCAGTGCTGCTTCTCCCATCACCATCACCCAGTTGCTCCTTGTCCTGAAAGGAGCTTTGCTCTAGCACTTTCTTTTCCTCAGAACTGTCCAGCCAATTCTTCCCGCTTACCCATGAGGTGCATCCCTCTGATGCATGCAAAAAGGTGGCACAGACAATTTCAATTGCAGAGTGCAGCTCCCAACCATGCAGAATCTCATTAGGCTGCCATATGCCTAATGTCTACAAAGGGAAATTATCCATGCTCTTAAGTGTACAAAAGTCACATGGCAATATGATAAGCATTTATCTTACTGGTCTATCACAGGGAAGGCAAACCTTGTGCCCTTCAGATGCTTTGGACTCCAATTCTAATATATCTTGGCCAACATGGCCAATGATTAGGGATTATGCAAGTTTTTTCAAAAACATCTGGAGAGCACCATGCTGTCTACCTATGATGTATCAGGTTTAGAACTGTTAAGAGGTATACTCTTCTCTATCTGGACTATCAATTGTACCTGCTTTAGCCATGTTGGAGACACAGCAATATAATGAAAGCTATCCCTGTTGAGCGAAAATCAACAATAATGAACTAGATGAATGAATGATCTGACTCAATATTTTTATTTATTATTTATTTATTAAAACATTTTTATGCCGCCCCATTCGCCGAAGCCTCGGGGCGGCTTACAACATAGATAAAACAATAAGTTAAAATCCATATAAAATAATCTTAATTAAAACACACATTATAAAATAAGCCGCCCTGGCCAGATAAAATTCAATTGTATTTAGCATTTAAAATGTTGCTTAAATAAAAAGGGCTTAGCCTGGCGCCGAAAAACAAATAACGACGGCGCCAGGCGGACCTCTCTGGGGAGCGCATTCCATAACTTAGGTGCCACCGCTGAGAAAGCCCTTCTCCGAGTAGCCACCCTCCTAATTTCTCTCACGGAGGGCTCCCGGAGAAGGGCCTCTCCCGCCGATCTCAGGGGGCGACTGGGCAAATATGGATGTAAGCGCTCCTTCAGGTAACCAGGACCCAAGCCGTTTAGGGCTTTATAGGTCATTACCAACACCTTGAATTGGGCCCGGACTTCAATGGGGAGCCAGTGAAGCTGACGGAGAACTGGCGTCATGTGAACATAACGTCCAGTCCCCGTCAGCAGCCTGGCAGCTCTATTCTGAACCAATTGAAGTATCCGGACCGTCTTCAAGGGTAGCCCCACGTAGAGCGCGTTACAGAAGTCAAGACGGGAAGTCACCAGCGCATGAGTCACTGTTGCAAGGCAGTCGTACTCCAGGTAGGGGTGCAGCTGATGAATCAGGATGAATATTCTTTTTCATCCTCCAATATGGGCAGGATGACATCACCTTCATGACACAACACACCATCAAATATGGTGACAAAGTAAAGGACAAGAATTTCCATTATTTTTTTCCAAAACAGAACACTGGATAATGAAGCTAGCCCCAATAATTTCCGGAATCTCTGAAAAGGTAATTTCACTCAAATTTATCTCTTTGATTTTATTTTCTTATGCATTATCACTGATGAAATGGGACACAGAGCTTAGTCTCATGAGTCATAATCAGAGCTACTTTCTCATAGTCTTGGTCACTTCCACATCTGCCCATTTCTGTTGTGTTTTGGAAGCACAGTAGTCTTTGGTGAGGATGAGGGACCATACTCCACTCAATATTTCCCTTGCAGCCGCTAAAGAACTCAAGTGATTTGAGGGCATATTAGTTTGGATGCAAAATAGGTCTAAGGGAATGGTTTCTACATACTTGTGTATCATACCCAACTCCTCTTTAAGGATGATTCAGAGTCCACTAACCAGGTATCCCCACAGATAAGAAGCAACTTAAGATGATCCAGAGGCTGATCACAGAGAACCTGCGCCCTCAGGGGAGACATCGAATCAGCCTCTCAAGAGACAAGGTTCACCTTTAGATTTGGAAAGGGATAATGAACTACTACATAGCCCTCAGGAATTGCTTGCTACTCATAAGCAAAACTCTCACGAACAGGATGACTTTCAAAGCACTTCAGATCATCAGCAGCTGAACCATGTATAGACTGCAAGAAGGTAAGGCTTAAAAGTCTGTCTCAGAAAGAGAGTTGCTGAAATAGCATCTATGCATCCATTCCTAATCATGCCTAAGTTCTCTTTGCTGGACCTCCCTGTGCTTGGACCCTTGGATTGCCTTCAAACCTGCTTTTAGAATTGATACTCTGTTCTCTGCTCATACCTGGACTGCCTACTGATCTGACCTAGGAACCAAACATCTGCTGCCATGGCCACACCTGAAACAAAATACTGGGTTGTGCATAACTTCATAAATTTATGAATTACAGAATTATTTTTAAAATCTAACTTCCTGGCAGGTTCTTGTGAAAATAAAGTTTGCAGACAACAGCAGAAAATGGTCCAGAGGAACCTGATGTCTGATATACTGTAAGAGTCTACTGATCAACTCTACGGCTGAAATGTGATATAAAATGTTCAAGTGGAACTTGAAAAAAATGAATAAAAAAGAAATGGAAGGGCTGAAAGAGAATGCTGATCTTCTCAAGCCCCCAAATCTTGTAACAAGTATCTGTCAGACAGGATGTAGGGTTGAACAGATGCTTTAATCATTTCCAGAGCTGTGTGCACCAAGCTACATAATATATATCACACCAGTGGAAAGTTATGGAAGGAAAGAGAGGAAGTTCTCTTTATCCCTACCACCAGAGAAAGTTGCCAGCCTTCAACTGAAAAGCAGCACATACACAGGTAACAGTATATGGGCAAATGAGTGAATCATTTGTAGACCTTAAGGCTCTTATATTGTCTGGAGTTGTACTTTCATTGTATAATTATAAGGACACCAGTGCGCAAAATAAAAATGTGACTAGATTGATTTATTATTTGGTGTATACATTAGACAGAACCACAAATATTTTCCGTATCTGTTTTTCCAGTTACGTGAACTAACTGTACCACCATTTTTTTAAAGGAAGAGAAAATGGGGGAGGGCTCTTCCCCTGAGAACATTACGTCAACTGTAAGAGATGCAGAAATCTTGTCATGCTAATAAACTTCTTAATTCAGTGGAAATGTTTATACATCATTGTTTACATGTTGAGGCCAAACTGTTGCCATTCCAGCAATTACAATGGTTATCTGCCTTCACTAGTGGTGACTCAGAACTAAAGAGTAGTTGAGCAACATGGAAATTCTCCAGCTGGCACTAAGAAAAAGTCTCTGATCTAAGTGCAACAACTGAAGTTTTATCCCTTCTCCCCCACCATCAGCAAAAATCTCTGCAATATGCCTCTTATTACACACTTTCAACACCCAAGTAAATCTACAAGTTGTGATTCTTCACATTGCTTAATATATGTAATGAAATATGCATGTCTAATATTTATGTTGTCTTGAGATGGTGG